TTTTGTATAAAATAATAAAATCTACGCTCGACAATATTTTCAATATAACAAATTCAATCGGTTTGTGACGTTTAAAGTCGTTCGAATCTGCAGATGATAAGTTATTAGGAACTCTTACCAGAAAAACATCGAGAAGTTTTCCCATACTTTCATCTGTAACAAAATCAGGATTAATTTCAAGTTGCAGGTATAATGAAGATGTTGTGACTGAAACAATATCATGGCCATTGGATCTGAAACCTGACAAGGTCGTTGGGACAGAGACTCTAACAAGGCCGTTGGGACTGAAACCTGACCAGGTCGTTGGGACAGAGACTCTAACAAGGCCGTTGGTACTGAAACCTGACAAGGTCGTTGGGACAGAGACTCTAACAAGGCCGTTGGGACTCAAACCTGTAAAAGTCGTTGGGACGGAGACTCTTACAAGGCCGTTGACACTGAAAAAATATCAAGGCCGTTGGGACTGAGACACTTACAAGGCCTGAAAAACTAATACATAGACCGATTTAGAAAAAAAATCCACATATGCTGGCGAAATAAAATAAAATTTAAAATTATGTCAGTATTCAAGTGAACTTAGAACGCAAAGAAGCACAAATAGTGGCCATTATTGGGCAAACTAAATAACGAAAGTATGCTGATACAAAATGAAATGGCTCATTTATTCTTTTTACGCTCTTGCTCTTCGCTGCGTAGGAATTCATCTAAAGGTAAAATCGAATGAAAAAATGGTTAAACTTATTTCAAAATACATTGATGCAAAACACTGCATATCAAAACATTCACTTCTTACCGAGTTAGCGCATTTAAAAATCAATATTTATGCATATGTGAGGAATATACTGAAGCAATTGCTGTATTTCCTATAACAATATCAACAAAGTTGTTAATTTTTGTTTTATTATTAAGTTTATTATTTTCAGTTTGGTTATTAAGAGTTTCAACATATTCTAAGAAAAAACTTCTTAAGTTTCGGAATTTTTCAAAACTGATCACTTCCATTTGGGCATTATGGACTGCGAACTATATGCCAAAAATTTTCTTACCTTCGAAATTGAAGAGTTTAACAAGGTGCAAGTATTATGCGTCTACGAAACTAAAGATTTAAAAAGGAAATGTTTCAATAATTACTTTTACGTTTTGTAAAGCACACGCTAACATATTTTTCGAGAACTATTTACGATCAGGTAATATCTTCCAATGTCACTGGCATCTGATCACACAGATAAAGTACATGGATCACGTGTTGTGAACTACTTTTTTATATTTACATATGGTGTCTATCCAGATTGTCTGCTTCCGGATAATGCACATAATTCTTCAGAGATTCGCTTGATAGCAAGGGCTTTTACATGGTAGCGGTTGGCCCCATGTTGTGGTGGAGTGATATCAAGCGCTGGACTTTACCGATCACTGCCATGTGAGAAAGCTTGTCAGTAGCTTCATGTGGGTTGGTGGTGGTTCTTACCGGGGATTTCTCGTGTTCTTCCTCCAACATTTATACTGGTCGCTGTGTATAGCCTATCATGAGCTGAAAAATGCCGTTAGACCCACAACAACAACTACTACTTAGTGGCAATGATGAGAAGTGGTTCTGAGAGGCGACACAAATGGAGGCAGTTGCAACGGTGGCTTGGTTGTTAATGTGCAGGACTCGAGTTCTACTGTGCAGGTTTTTGCATTATATAAATGAATCGGCCTATATTGGCTACGTTGATGCTTGCTTGGACTCGGCACTGCAAATATTTAACAATGAGCTAGTGAGGCCAGAAAGTACAACTTCATGTAAAATAACTGTACACTTAAACTCGCATGAAGAATATTTATTAATGTTATTGCAATTGTTTGTTTTGAGAGAGAGAGAGAGAGAGAGAGAGAGAGAGAGAGAGAGAGAGAGAGAGAGAGAGAGAGAGAGAAGTCGTGGTACAATATAACTATTTTTTTATTAATATATATATATATTATATCTGAATCAGAACCTAATGTTATAATATGCCTTTTGCTATAATTCCAGTTGTAAGATTTTATTACATATTCAGTTAGAAAATCATATATAGAGCCTTATTATATGCAAAACCCAAGCATTTAAAAGTTATTACAATGAATGAAAATCGATGATTAATAAACTGTACAATACATCGGTAAATATGTATATAATGCATTCTAACTCTGATAATCTTCCATTACTGTCTAATTCCCTATCTCACTCCGAAAAAAATGGTTTCGTCCATTGATGAAAAGATGTTAAAATGAGGGTTTCTTTCCCACTTTATGTCTATTTACAACTTTGTGCTCCGTCGTCCTGATAACACATTTTTTTCGCAATACTCAACCTGAAGTACTTCTCTAGTGAAGTTAAAAATGATTTTGTGGTCTTATTCGCAGGTGGAATTTCTACGGAAACACATATCGCATGGCAGGCATTTTTCGCTTTTAATTTATATATGTCTAATTTTCTAGAAACCACTAACATGTGATATTATAAGCATCTATTTCTCGTCGTTGTCCATAAAATGAGTGCGCAAATTCATTAATTCATTCATTTTTAATAAAATTTAGTCAATACATATAGTAAATATATATTGGGGATGTGGAGCTTTGTGTTAAATTCTTCTGTCATTTTAAACGAAATTCCGTCTGCAGAATGAATACAAGGGGTGATGTGAGAGAGTAGGCGGAAAGGAGAAGACTAGAAGAGATGGATCTTTACAACTCCCAACTACTATCTCTTGCAAACTTTTTCATTTCTTCTATTTGGAAGAAAGACCACGCTAAATTTATTTCTGAAATACAGAACAACTATTGGTCATCTTGAATTAACGTCACCGGATGCAAAGATTGGTACTACTTAGCAGAAGCGTTACAGTCAGAACATTACTAAGAATTATAACGTCGACAAATATTATCATATATAAATGCAAGAATACACATAAATTATATGGGTTTGGTGATTTACCTCCAGCAGATTGTATCCACATATGGTGAGATAGAACAGGCTAACAATATAACGATTGTGACTGTATCTCCTTCTGCGCAATATTGTTCCAGATGAACAAAAAGTAACTTCAAATATATTTCTCCCTTGCGGCGAATGACATCGGATTTTTCTTTCTCTACTTGACGGAGAGGATTAATATGTTCCGATTGTGAAGCCCTGTTCAATATGGACGTAACTAGTTATGTCAATTGCGGAAACACCCGAACGTTGCTCAAGTGAGGTATGGTTTTGGACAACAACTTATGTATCTCGCAAAGGAAACAACTAAATTTGTTTTGGCTGTATTCGTTTCTCCGTCGGAAAAAAGACAAACTACATCATAGCGTCAGTACAGTTTTGTGATTCAATTTTATATTTAACAAGAAAAAGTCGAAGCTTCCACCTAGCTTGAGGTATTGTCCCTAATCCGCTGGCTGATTCTTTGAGCGTAATAAAAGGATAAAAATGTCTGGTGCGTCGAGAAGGATTGCGGTGCTTAATAAATATTGATTCTTAGCGGAAGAGCAAAGCTTAGAATTGAGCCTATACTGTACATTTGTTGTTGACGGATAGCAGGAAAATCATGGTGACAAATCTCGCTTATGATTCTTTACGTGCCATTTTGAGATACCATGTCTTATCAAATGTTTTCGTTCCTTTGTGACAGAAATATCAGTATATTTTCTCCCTTATAGATCATTGTATAACCATTTCTTAATGTAGACTTGCAGCCTCATATTAAAGGAATTAAATTACTAATCTATTTTATTCCAAGTTATGCCAGTTGTATATTGACCAGTGGGATTAGGTACAGACAAATTGTGAGCAAAGTCCGTTTTTAGCTATTCTCCCACCGATGTATCCAGGTCATCACTTCTAATACGCAATTCTGAAAAAGTGTAAATTTCTCATCTGAGAATTAATTGACTCCATTAAAGCGATTTCCAAAAATGTCAGTATCAAATTACATTAATAATTCTCGTAAAATTCAAATTAAAATGACAGAGAGCGTGAAATACATTTATGCAAAAATTATAACATGATAATGTCTTAATGGAATGTATGGTACACATCGTCTTGAAATCTTGATACCGAAAACAACTGGCATTTCGATTTCAAGCACATATTTTCGTCTGGCTTGCGCTTTTAAGTAGCGACACTCTTTTTTTGTTCTTAACAATGTTACCAAATCGATTACGATAACATTCTATATCAAATTAATGTTTACCTGTCAAAGTCATTGCATTGGACCTGTGTTGATTTTACAGATAAATGACAACCCAGGCTTCAAAACGCTCGATAAAACCAATAGCGATCAAACTTTCATGAACGCCATTTTCATCTATCATTCATGCCATCGTTACCTTCCTTTTCTGTGCAGTGAGCAGCAACAACAGTTATATTCAATACCTCTTACGTCTTTCAAACATGGGAATATTTTTTGGAATTTATAAAGCCATTCTTAGCATCCTCTACACAAATTAAATTTGGATTGATTTTAACTGCATTTACAGTGCTGATATTCACTTTAAATGGCGTTTACTCTCTAAAATCGGTAATACATTAGCTAGGACTTACCAGATTGTATTCAAATGCAATAAATTATGTTATTGTTGCAAATTATGGAGTGGAGTCTATCAGCTTAAGAAAAAATGTGATGAATTATTTGCCCAAAATGCTGAAGTGATTCGTTGGGGTTTTAAACATTGTCCGATACGATCAAAACACTGTCTCGATTAGATTTGCATGTGTTAAAAACAATGAAAAGGAAGATTGATACGATTTTTGACCTTGAAATCATTATAAATAAAGTTCTGCAAGCATCCACTTGAATATTTCTCCAACGTGGCATTTGAGAATATGCATTATATCTGGGTACGAGCAAGACATGCATCTAATTTTATACGTAATACAGTTAGCCTAACTGATTCATTTACTTATTTGATCTTATTTATTTATGTTTTGCTTAATCACCAAAGCCTTGCTTAATATGAACTTTCTCCTTTATGATACACATGGTATCGACCGCTCCGATGGCCTAGTTGTTAGAGTGTCTGCCTTGGATGTAGAAAGTCGTGGGTTCGAACCCCAGCTGAGTCATACCAAAGACGGCTAAAAATGGTATGAGCAGCTGCCCTCTCTAGGCGCTCAACATTAAGAGGTTAGTGTTATGTCTGTATGGTGTCAAGCACATGTAACTGGGTGCAGGACCGACCCTAAGATATGCGAGGCCCAAGGCAGCTAGCGATGAGCGCGGGACCCTAAGCAAACAATTGCATTGCAGAGTAGATTTCCGTCAGCAGCGTGGGGCTCCTGGAAGTGCGGGGACCAAGACGGTTGCCTCGTTTGCGTTTTCCTAGGGAGAGGCCTGACTGGGTGTGACGTCATGCTGCATGTCCGTGGTATTATGCCCCAGTGCTAGAAATCACAATAAACTGCCATACTGCAGACATCGTAGCGATAAGACTGAAAAATTGTTAAAACTACGTTAAAAATCCAAATCACACACAAATACACGTTCACACATACTCACACGCACACGCACACGCACACACGACGAGTTCGTAATATTTTCTGCATTTTCAAACATTTTTTATGAAATCCACTGCACTAGTTATAGTTATAAGTTCAGATGTATCACGACAATTTTATTTACGTTAGGCTTCGATAATGACACGCACTATTTTGTAAAACATCAATATATTTTACATAGAGTTGTCTAGACATAGTTTTTATTTAATGAAATTACTAATATTTACGTAGATAGACATTTTAGGAATAACACGTTTGCTTTGTCATCATATTCCAAAGCCGAATAAAACTGATAAACAGCTGATTTTCTGTTTAGGCTTTAATTTCGCTTTCTATTAAATACAACTTGCAGTATGCACTAGTTAAAGATCTCCAATAGAATTGTGAGAAAAACGATTAATGATTTTCTAAGGGATTATAGCAGTTGATCGATTCAGTTAGTGTAGTGATACCTTAAGGAGGTGACAACGGTTATACCTAATTAACAAATTTGATTTTCCTTGATATGTATGATCACGGAGGCAAATTTATTTTAGTTGCATTTTCTTCGGTGTCGTTAGTACCAGATTACAATTTATCTTGCAAGGCAGCTGCCTAAATGGAGCATCATGTGGTGCCATTGTTACCATACGTAATGTCTAAACACAGGGAATCTCTGCCATGATTATATCAAAAGTGAAACTTGTTTAATATGCATATATATATATATATATATATATATATATATATATATATATATATATATATATATATATATATATATATATATATATATATATATATATATATATATATATATATTGATATGATAATACAAAAGTTTAAATGTATGGGCCAAAATCTCACATCCTATCTTTGCTTTGGAAAAATTACATGCACGAAAAGATCACCTACTGTAAAATATGAGAAACTGTTTTATTCATGAGAGATAAATGTTAGATGACATAACAATAGAGTGCATAATTTGAAATAAAAAGTATGTCATAAGCTCAATCTGATGTACTGATCTCTAGAAAACACTAGCTGTTGAGAATGATGAATTTTAAGTATTTGATACCTGTATAACTCAAAACTTAGTATATTTTTAATTCCTATTATAATCAGATCAGGAGACCTAATGTATATTTTATGGTAGCTCTATGTGTCAATTCTAATGGGCGACTCAGACAATCATGATACCATCCTGTGCCATATTGGATTGACGATTCAGACCCTTATGGTAGCTCTCTTTATCAACTTCAACGTACTAATCAGACCATTAAGGTACAACTTTTGTGTTTTCTTGAATGGACTAATCAGACTCTTGTAGCAGTACTTTGTGCCATCTTGAATGGACAAATAGGACCCTTATGGCAGCACTCTGTATTATTTTGAATGGCCTAATAGGACCCTTATAGCAGCACTATGTATTATCTTGAATGAACTAATAGGACCCTTATGGCAGCACTCTGAATTATCTTGAATGGACTAATCAGACCCTTATGGCAGCACTCTGTATTATCTTGAATGGAATAATAGGACCCTTATGGCAGCACTCTGTATTATCTTGAATGGAATAAGAGGACCCTTATGGCAGCACTCTGTATTATCTTGAATGAACTAATAGGACCCTTATGGCAGCACTCTGAATTATCTTGAATGGACTAATCAGACCCTTATGGCAGCACTCTGTATTATTTTGAATGGACTAATAGGACCCTTATGGCAGCACTCTGTATTATTTTGAATGGACTAATCGGACCCTTATGGCAGCACTCTGAATTATCTTGAATGGACTAATCGGACCCTTATGGCAGCACTCTGTATTATCTTGAATGGACTAATAGTACCCTTATGGCAGCACTCTGTATTATTTTGAATGGACTAATCAGACCCATATGGCAGTACTCTGTATTATCTTGAATGGACTAATCGGACCCTTATGGCAGCACTCTGTATTATCTTGAATGGACTAATCGGACCCTTATGGCAGCACTCTGTATTATCTTGAATGGACTAATCGGACCCTTATGGCAGTACTCTGTATTATCTTGAATGAACTAATAGGACCCTTATGCAGCACTCTGTATTATCTTGAATGGACTAATCGGACCCTTATGGCAGCACTCTGTATTATCTTGAATGAACTAATAGGACCCTTATGGCAGCACTCTGTATTATCTTGAATGGACTGATCAGACTCGTATGGCAGCACTCTGTATTATCTTGAATGAACTAATAGGACCCTTATGGCAGCACTCTGTATTATCTTGAAAGGACTAATTAGACCCATATGGCAGCACTCTGTATTATTTTGAATGGACTAATCGGACCCTTATGGCAGCACTCTGTATTATCTTGAATGGACTAATCGGACCCTTATGGCAGCACTCTGTATTATCTTGAATGGACTAATAGGACCCTTATGGCAGCACTCTGTATTATCTTGAATGGACTAATAGGACCCCTATGGCAGCACTCTGTATTATCTTGAATGGACTAATCGGACCCTTATGACAGCACTCTGTATTATCTTGAATGGACTAATAGGACCCTTATGGCAGCACTCTGTATTATCTTGAATGGACTAATCGGACCCTTATGACAGCACTCTGTATTATCTTGAATGGACTAATCGGACCCTTATGGCAGCACTCTGTATTATCTTGAATGAACTAATCGGACCCTTATGGCAGCACTCTGTATTATCTTGAATGGACTAATAGGACCCTTATGGCAGCACTCTGTATTATCTTGAATGGACTAATAGGACCCTTATGACAGCACTCTGTATTATCTTGAATGGACTAATCGGTCCCTTTTATATAGCAAATGGTTTGAAAATGTTAGAGTTCATAATTTTTGTCAAGAAAGACTAGTCATTAATCTAGTTATAGCGTCAGTACCTGAATAAATTACTATGAAATAATTAATTTTGGGAGAACCATCAGAATGCTTCGTATTCCCTCTGTAACCTTACATTTGGGGTGATAAAGACATAATACAGAAACAAGAATGCAAACACGTTTATTTGCTTCCAAAATGAAGCATTAAAAAATTCAGACCAATGCAGCCAGGTGACAAACTAAATTATATAATAGTAGCTGCGATTGAAATTCTGCTGCATTTTCTAGAAATAGTTGCATTTGAATGAAATGACTAGAATACTTAGTGAACGTTATATTTCCAGAAGAGCCCCAATCACGCTGGTTTTCCTTTCATATTCTACGCAAAAGCCGAAATTAAACTCAGTTTACATTTTTTTATACTTAATTGTCGCTTTCCATTAGATGCAAGTAACATTAATTGCTAGTTAATACATTTACAAGAAAAATCAGGGTGAGAAATATGATAATGACTAGGATATAATAAACCTGATTCATGAAATTAGTGTAGTGACACATGATCGATGCTATAATTTCCCATATGAAGTCCTCGTCTGAATTTATAAAGTGAAATATCTAAAATGATATATAGTAGATTTCCTTCCGTTTCAAAGACCAGCATTATTTTCCTTACTCTGACTGATTGGACATAACGACCAGTGTAGCAGACATAAGGCGAAAGCAACCAATTCCTAAGAAAGTTCATACATATATAAGGCGAAAGCAACCGATGATCGATTGGATATCAAGGTAATATTCTTTGTACAACTGTTTTGTTTTTTTGGCATAAGTTCAGCTGTGTCAGCATGATTTACAACATATTACCGTTCTGGCTAACGACGAACATCAATATAAAGTCTTTATGACGTTCAATTGCCATTTCCAATGTTAAATTCCCACTGAGGCTATACGAGCTCACCATGTTCATTTCCCACTGAGGCTATACAGGCCCATCATGTTCATTTTCCATGTCAGGTTATATGGACCCATTATGTTCATTTCTCATGGAGGCTATATGGACCCACAATGTTCATTTCCCACTGAGGCTATACCGGCCACCATGTTCATTTCCCACTGAGGCTATACGGGCCACCATGTTCATTTCCTACTGAGGCTATACGGGCCACCATGTTCATTTCCCACTGAGACTATACTAGCGCACCATGTTTATTTCCCACTGAGGCTATACAGGCCCACCATGTTCATTTCTCACTGATGCTATATGGGCCCACCATGTTCATTTCCCACTGAGGCTATACGGGCCCACCATGTTCATTTCCCACTGAGGCTATACGGGTCACCATGTTCATTTCCTACTGAGGCTATACGGGCCACTATGTTCATTACCCACTGAGACTATACGAGCGCACCATGTTCATTTCCCACTGAGGCTATACGGGCCCACCATGTTCATTTCTCACTTGGGCTATATGGGCCCACCATGTTCATTTCTCACTAAGGCTATATGGGCCCACAATGTTCATTTCCTACTGTGGCTATACGGACCCACCATGTTCATTTCCCACTATGGCTATACGGACCCACCATGTTAATTTCATACTGAGGCTATACGGGCCCACCATGTTCATTTCCCACTGAGGCTATATGGGCCCACCATATTCATTTCCCAATGAGGCTATATGGGCCCACCATGTTCATTTCCTACTGAGGCTATACGGGCCCAACATGTTCATTTCATACTGA